AAGGTGTGTAAAAGACTCATATGTCACATAAAAGTTAAACATCTTGTGCAAAGCTACCTATAAGGTCTTTACCGTATGAGGTCTTTACCTTTTGAAAATGCTCGAAATGTGACAACAAGGTCAATATGACGAGGTATGCACTCAAACTCAACCCCATTTCATAAGCCAATCTTAAGATGGAAAATATTATAAATTCGATGCTAAAGATTCATCACGAGCTCAAAATCCCCCATGAATTTTTTTTCCCCGAAGGTATTCCACAAGGAAAGACAGTAAAGATAATACGAGAATATATAAGACCTTTTCAGGTCAAATTACAAAGGAGAAAAGGGAAAGGAACCTGAACAATCTAATTATAAGATATGTTTTTTTTTATCACGATATGAGCAACTCTATTATGCTTACATTTGAACAGAATTCATGACTAGACTTCAATCTTTTTAAGGTGAAAGTCATACATCGAGTCCAGACTGTCTGATGAAAACAGTGCAGTGAACGCTGTAAAAATAGGGGAATCCTCGGGAATGCCCTAGTTAATCGTGTGTTAGATATATATATATATATATTAAAGGAGTACTATACGCCTGACGTACACCAGTTATTGCCATATAGGGTCAACTGGCGTACGTCAGGCGTATATTATACGTCAGGTACTACTAGTGAGATATCTCTATCTAGACCATGAATTAAATCGAGTTTTGGGTATGATACTATACCCTAACCTCTAATGGGTAAACCCCATACACCGATATTCTAAATCCCAACCCGAAGTTTGATTTAATGAAAAACAAAAATTGACCGTTGAAATCGGCCGGAGCTCATCTAAGTACATATAACGGTTAGATCATCTGTTGTATACTATACGTCTGACGTATACCAGTTATTGTCATATGTATATATATATATAACCCAACAAATAAGAATAAAAATCCCTTATGACTCTCGTTTGGACAATTAATAAGACTACATAATGGAACTGTAGAGGAACAGTGGAAAATGTTACTGTTCAATGCGGTTAATTGAACTAGCTACTTGCAGCAGAAGCGAGGCCAGGGATCCTCCTCTACTTTCATGATCATCCTCGGTGCTGAGCACATCGCGGTGGACAAGTAATTTATGGGCCGGAGAGGTTGGAATAATGGACTTGTCTTCTTAGTTTGTTAGACCATGGCCAGATCATGGACCGTATTTACAAATTCATGAATAGGGTTTGTCGACCTTCAGAATGAAAGGAAAATGTGTGTAGCCTGTGGAGGAGATTGGGAGTGTAGGGAAAGAGGAAATAATAAAAAGGGAATGCAGCAGGAGCAGCTTTTTTCTGTGCGTGGAGAGTTTTTCTAGATCACAGGCATAAAAGGGGGAATTGTTGAGGACTCATAGGGAACAAACTGGTCAGGAGAAGGTCTGATCCAAAAAAACTGTGAGTTTCTCAGTAGCTAGCTATTACCCACCTACTATACTCCATCATCTGCCTAGCTATATGCCTACAATTTCATTAATTTCTTAATTTCCTATATACCCTCTCCTAAGCCTGTGATGAAAATCTCTAGTTACACCAATGAGTTCCTCCCCTTTCCTTTCCATGCATGATTTTTGCCTCATGTGCTTTTGGAGCATCCTAAAGTTGCACACAAATGAACAATGTAGACACTCCACAGTTGACAAGGATGCCATCAGAAAATAATATAAATGCATGTTAAGATCATGGTTGTCACGCCAGACGTACGACATGTCACCCCAACTGAATACTAGTAAAGAGCCATTAGATTACGTGTCACATGTGCCCAATTATTTGATTGACCATTAAAAGTTAATGGTTGACCACACGATGATCAAACTATGTTTGACTACTCATAACACGACGTCAATGTGTCTGCTACACAGGTGCCAATGCCATAGATATTTTTGTGAATCCTCCTAATTTCATTGATGCTGTGAATTAGGACTTGTCAAACCTTTGATTTGAAAATTGACAACAAAGGTTTATGGGTGGAGTTCTAATTTACGTGTTGAGTTATGTCATACATCTTGAATTGGCGATATCTTAATTGAAGCGGTGAGCTATATCACACGGTTGCTGTTTTTTTTACGATATTATACAACACTGATTTTTATTAAAAATTGCATTTAAAATGTAAATACAACTAACAATCACAAACAATTTTTTTGCGATGGTTTAAAGAATGATGCTAAATATTGTCATCTGAATGGGCCAACGGTTTCTGGCGGTTGGAACTTGGTCGGGCTGAAGAGTTTAGTCGGCCAAAATCTGGTTTGGCTTAAAAATTTTGTCATCCAAAACTTGGTTAGCCGAAGAATTCTGTCTATCGGAACCAAGTCGGGGCACAAAAATCCATCGGTCGAAACCGGTCAGTCCTTCCATCTTCTTCGGCATAGTTTTTTGCGACAGTTTAACAACCGAAGTCGTTGTACCGTTGCTAACATATATTAGAGCATCTCCATTGGTGCAATGATATTTGCAATTGTATTTTTTTTTATTATTATTACTTTATTTTTTAGCAATCCAACTCATCTTACTTGCATTGCATCACATCAATGCAATTAACATGCAATTGCAACTAATTTTTTTGATTTAATTTATTAAAACATAAACACTCAAATAATAAAATTAATGAATAATTTAATAATAAAAAAGATGATGTGGCTTGCATTCCATAATTGCATTATATGCAAGCTTGCAAAGATGCAATTGTCATCTACATCAATGCAATTGCATAATATAATTGCAAATGAATGTCATATCATAATGCAATTCTAATTGCAATTCCAATGAAGATGCTCTTAGTTGTATTGACGATATTTAGAAATTTTTATTGTCGGCAAATACTAGTTAAGTAATGAAATTACTGGCCTTTATATGGGAGTCGAGAATGCGCTTCCAACTTGAAGTCTGCAACAGATTTAGAACCCTTCCAGATGGATGAAATTTTTTCAAAATATAAAAAACAGTATTTCTGAAAATACTTAGCATTTAGATTCATAATAATAACTTCTCGATTTAAATATATATAATGAAAATGAGTAACTTTGAGAAGTCCATGTATATCCAAAATCACACCATATATGTGTATATTTCCTAGCTAGTTATCAAGGAGATGTTATACATGTGTAGTATGGAAGTTATGATTGTTTCAGTAAGATTGTTACTATATTTGTATTGTTTATTTGTTTAGAATGTAACGTATTTTTCTTTTATTTTTTAACAAACATACTATATGGATTTTTTCTTGTGATGTGACAGAAGCAATCACTCAAAATGAGTTTTTAGCCGAGATTGTTCAATTTCAGCTTTTAACTAATGTAACATGTACACACAATCAAACATACTAAATGTTGTATTGTACAATGTATAAAATTCATCATCAATACATACATGTATTCATAACAATACATTTATTTAATAATAACTTCCAAACCACAGCATATTGGCAAATTGAAATAGTGATTATTGAATATTTGGTTTAGAGGATGGATTCCGTCGTTGGCAAGGTAAGATCAATGCTGTCAGAGGAGGAAGAGGTGGGGGGTATGAGTAATGTCCCGTGGATAATTAATAAGCAGTACTATTGGAATCCCATTGGAAACTAATGATGCTGTTCCAAAGGAGGGGAGGGGACGGGTGATGGGAATTTAATTGGGAAGGAAAGAGTGGTACGTAGTAATAGGCTAATAGCAGTACTAGAACTGCCCCAAAATCACATCAACAATGGCAGGCAGACAGCTGCAGCAGGAGATTTCAGATTCAGAGACAGAGGAAAGGAAAGGAAACACAACACAGCAGCATATATGTATGTATGTGTTTGTTTATCCTCTTTTAACGAGGAGGAGGAGGAGGAGCAGAGTTTGTCGATCGATGGATGGAGTTTGCAATTGTCCTTTCCTTGCAGGCTGAAGCTGCCACCAGCTGACTTTATACCCCCCGGCCGGCCCCTTTTCCCACCCCATGCATTAACTCCCCAAACCAAAACACAGGCTTCAGTTCAGGCCTAGTTGTGTGCAACGTGAAAACAAGGATACACAGAGGATGCATCCTAACTGCTCAAACCTACTCTACCTCCTCCTCATCCCCCACCACCGCCAAGAATTCCTTACGGGGAAATTCACTGTGATGGATTGTTCTTCAACGATTCCCGGAAGGCGGCATATGGGATTGTTGTTACTAATTCTCATGGTGAGGTGTGCGAAGGAAAGGGCGACTCCCTCCTCTGCGATTCTGCTTTGGAAGTGGAAGCAGTAGCAATTCATGAAGGATGTTTGTTTGCGCTGATTAACCCTTCCCCGTTCGTGATCACATCTGATTGCAAGGTGATGGTGGATGCGATTGCTGGACCAAAACATAGATAGCCATGGATTGTTGCAGCGCGGATTGACAGAAATCGTGTTGCACTTTGTAGCCTTCATGACGTTCGGGTTGAGTTCGTTAGGCGCGAGCAGAATGCTTTGGCAGACTGGGTTGCTCGGTCTCGGGCAAAGAACCATCTTCCATTGGATTGGGTTTCTGTCCTGAATGTATTACTACCTCTTCTGTAACCTCGGTTGGAATATTGGGTAATGCAGAGACTGTTTGTAAAAAAAAAAAAAAAAATCGCAAAAACAAGCTCCAATATGTGTAAGGCAGGCACGCATGCAGGAGTTGACTTTTATGCTTACTACAAAGTTGGTATATGGTGGTTTTTATTGTCCCCCCTCTTTTCATTGGACAGCTTTGCCTATCAAAGCTCTTAGCCTTTTGTGGGTTTGAAAAGGGTAGAACTTTGCCTACCTAGCTCCCTGCCCTATTAATTAGCTTCCGCCCATTAATCTAGCCCCCCCACTCTTTGCTTTCTTCTTCTTCTTCCATTCCAAAACGTGAAAAGGTGGGTTCCTATGTACATTCGATACTGTAGGCATTTGCCCCACTCCACTACCACCCTTCCTTTATAAATTCCTCCCCAAAATCCACTAACCCTAATTCTTCATAACCTCACTTTTACAATAATGTCTTGACCAACATTTTCTTCTCTACCTTCCCAACCAAGTAACTGCACTAGCAAAATTAAGAAAACCAAATGCAAGCACAATTGTTAAACAAACCCTTTACAAAGATTGACCAATATATATATATATTAGTTAAACAAGAGAGGCTTACACAACCTACTACATGGGGAAATGTAAAGGTAATTAAGGAACTTGAAAAGTTCATCAACCATCAGTCCAACGGCAAGCTAGGCATATACTAATTAACTAATTAAGCAGCCTATAGTAATAATAATAGCAATCAAAAGCTTAAGTCACTAGCACGTTAATTATACGTACGCTCCCCTAGCTTACAAAATAACGGGATCGAGCATCTCCGAAACTGTCTAGTAATCACACGCGTAGTTGTGATGACCCCTCGCCGCCAGCGCACTGACCAAATCCGACGGATAATACGGATAGTACGGCGTCGTCGTAGCATAGTTATCCACCTCCTGACGATGATAATAACTGTCGCACAAGTTGGCATATCCAACACGATCCTGATCAGCCGCCACGCCGAACACCTGCTCATCGTACCTTCCCATGTCATAGTACGAGGAAGCCGTCACCATTTCACTCTTGCCCGCCGCCGCCTGCTGAGAACCGGTCGTGGTTGCGGTGGTGGAAGGCTTCTTCTCCGGCTTGGGCAGGAACCCCCGGACAACTTCGTGGAGCAGCCCCGACCCAGATGGATCCTGAGGGAAGAACTCCAGATACTCCTCCTCCTCCTCCTCAACATGTTCCGGCGTGGCAGATGGAGCGGAGGAAGGAGGAGCGATCGCCACGGTGACGGCTCTCTCGGGGAAATGGAGGAAGTCAGCCGAAGGAGGAGGAGGAGGAGGAGCGGGGGCTTTGTTGCGCCTCCTTTGGGCCGGGGGAGGTGAGGTGGCGGCGAAGTGGTGGTGGTCGAAGGAGGAGGCGAGGAGTGGGTGCGGTGTCCAGCTGGCGAGGGAGGAGGAGAAGGAATGGTTGTGGTTGGGGCGGGAGGTGGCGGCAAAGAGGTGTTTGGAGAAATGGCTGAAAGGCGGGAAAGTGGTGGTGTCGTTGTGGGTTGGAGTGGGAGTGGGAGGGTAGACGAAGTTGGTGCGTGCCTTGAGGCCGCGCATGGCTCTGGCGGCGCAGTCGTAGGCGCAGGCGGCTTCCTCGGCGGTGTCGAAGGTGCCCAGCCAGCGCCTTTCCTTGGACTGCGGGTCACGTATCTCGGCGGCGTACCGGCCCCACGGCCTCCTCCGAACCCCACGGTACCTCATGGTGCCACCACCACCGGATGTGGCGGCTTCCTTCATGGCCCTCTTGACGGCGGTGGTGGTGGTGGGGACGCCGTGGTGGTGGTGGTGAAGTGGGTTGGTGGTGGTAGGGTTGGGGTCTGGAGAGCTCATTCCGTTAAGCCTCCTCAAAGCTTCTTCCATGGAGATTTTTTTGGAAGAAAGGGTTTCGTTGGAAGTTGGAGATTTTGAGTTTTGATGGAGTGTTGTGAGTGTGTGGGTGAGTGAGTTAGGGCTTATGTGGGTTGATATTTATAGATGGACGAGAGAGAGAGAGAGAGAGAGAGAGAGAGAGAGAGAGAGAGAGAGAGAGAGAGAGAGAGAAGAGTGGTGTATGTTTGTCTATGCATTACAAGCAAGGTTGTTAACCCGCGGGTCGACCCGCGGGTCGACCCGGATTAGCCCGGACCCGGCCAAAAAAACGGGTCATACCAATCCATTTTCATGTCAGCCCGGAAATGGTCAAATCCGGGTTGACCCGGCCGGTTAGCCCGTTGGAGCGGGTCAACGGGTTGCTCTTCCTGAGCCCCGTTGGCCGTTGCGTCGCCGTTTCTGCGGACTCCGCCTCTGCTCGGCCTCCGCCTCCGCCTTAAATTTTTAACTATGATGGATTTAAGTTGATGTTATGTGAATGATTTAAGTGTTGTTGAATTTTTACTATGTTGAATTCAAGTTGATGTTATTTAAGTGTGTTGGAGTTGAAGTAGTGTTGCATTTTTTATGTTGGATTCAGGATAAGTATAATATAATTACATTTTCCATATTTCCGGGCTAAACCGGGCTAAAACGGGTGACCCAATGACCCATGACCCACTAGTTCGTCCGGGTCCGGGTCGACCCGCGGTTTGACAACCTTGATTACAAGGAAACCAAATGAGGTAAAGAACCTCAAGTAATTTTTCAATGAAATGGATTTCTATTTTTCTTAACCTTTCTGTTTGATGGTTTATAATTATGTGCTTAATTGCATCATTTTAAGTATTTCACAATTTTGTTTTGTTGTCACCATATGATATGTTTTCTGAACTTAAAGTTTCAAGTTTCCCTTTTCATGAGAGAAGATAAACCATATGAATAACTTAATTTATTACACGAGATACGTACAATTATACAACACAATCAATCATTTTCTCTCGTGTTCTTCAAGTACTATGTTTGTAATTATTTAGATTCTTGAGCATAAAAATAATCTTGAATAAGGATGATAGCAAATTCCGATAAACTATGCAAACCAATTTCAAAATTAGTTTGTTTCCTTGGCATTTTCACTTTCTGGGTTTTCGAATGTAAGCAAGATCAGTTAGTAGGTACTATTCGATAAGCGACATTATTCCTGGAAAGCTTTTTTGTGGAGAGAATTTACTGCATCAATAATGGAAGCTCGAGTTTATTTATTATTATTATCATTATTATTATTATTATTATTATTATTATTATTCTAAGCCGTCCCTTCGAAACTATTTATATTCTGCTGGCATTGTTGCAGTTAATTGGGCATGGCGGTGATGGTATAGGGGGGACTAGGGGATCGAGAAGGAATTTTGATTTTTGTCCCCTAATTGTCATAATCGATTTCCCCTGCGCCTTTCTCGATGGATCTCCTAATTAATTAATGGACAATACATACGATCACGTATATAACTTATTGTCTAATTAATTAATAAATAAATAATAAAATAATGACTTACGTCCCTCAAAGAACAAGTTACCCCAAGATCTTTAGTTATAAGGTGGCTTTGTAGATGATGATTACTAATGGCTAAATTGTATCAAAGAATTAGCTTCCAGAAGTGTGTTTAATGTTGCAAGCATAGCCGAACAGATGCATAATCTAATATGTGTAATCCTGTATAATCCCATTTTAACGAGGTATGATAGTGGTACAAATCGTACGACTCTTAGTAAATCAGAATTATACATGATGTGAGTAATTGAAACCTATCGTGAATGTTATATAGAGGTACACACAATGAAATTGGAGACACAACGACATTAATTACTACTTGGATGATACTACAATTTGGAAAATACCACTGATATTAGGGGTCTAATTAAATTAAATTGTGTGCACTTATTGGACCTCAGCCTAGGAAAGGCAATGGGGCAGGTCCGGGGCGGGTTTCTTGGTACCCAGACCCGCCCCGTGCCAGGTCGGGTCCAGGTCGGGTAATTGATCACGGGTCGCGGGTTGGGGCAGGTCGACCCAACAGGTATGCAATTTATATGAAAAACATTAGAAATATTCGTTATTTTTATTATAAGACTAAGAAAACAAACAATGTTATGACAATTGTAGTTAAATTATTGGAGAAATTGAAGTTTTTACTAATTTACAACTTTATTATAGCTAAAATATGATGCAATAAAAGGAAAATTCTAAGTAATTTGACTAAGATTAGATGTAATTTAGACAAGAACGGGTCGAGAATGGGGCGGGGCAGGTCGGGTCGATGAGACTACCCATGCCCGCCCCGCCCCGCCTACAGGGCGGGTCGGACCCGCCCAAAACAGGTCAAACAGGTCGGATAAAACGGATCAGGTCGAAATTGCCATCCCTACCTCAGCCACCACTACTGATGAAAGAGTCGATATGTGCTCAAGGTCGAGAATATTGTAAGTTTTGCAATGGTATGCGTGATCTTTATAACCGATATGCACGAGAAAGCACTATTTATAAAAATGTTATAGCTTACATTAACAGGCTAATATATTATATGAACGCTTGATCCAATGATGCCACCTAAGACTCCACATTGGTAACATAACAAAATTTCCTCAGGCCACTCAAATCTCAACAATTTCAATTTAAAATCAAGACTGAATCGAGATCGGACCAAGACCGGACTGTATCCAATTTAATTTTTAGTCCTTATATTCCCGAAAAATCGAATTGGGATCGGATCAATTCGAGCCAATTTAAACGGACCGAACCGTATAGTCACCCCTATGACCTAATATGGGACTTGGGTATTTTGATTTGGTTTGAATTTTCAACAATTAATGTATACAAATTGCGAGGTAATTAAAACATGAACCGGGGTTTGAATTTATTTGGTTTTTGGGGACATTGCGAGGAGTTAATCTAATTTCCTTAATCAGCTACTACTAATTGCTGCTGTCGTCATGTTGTCTAACTTTGAGATGAAATTGTGGGTAGTTGGGCTCTGTTCTCTCGAAAACCCTAGCACGCCAGCTAGCTAATTAACAACCACAGGCACAGAGAAACAACTTCTGGCCAAATGCCATCAAATTAATGAAAAGCTGAACACAAAAAACAGCAAATTTTAATGCGGTTCATTCCTTGAGCGAGCCTATTCCCAAGGGTGGAAATCAAATCCTGATAGTGTGATTGATGGATCTCTCTATTAATTGGAGGGGATTTCCTGTCGTTTTGATTAATGATGCTAAGCCTGTTGTGTTTATATCTTTTTCCTGTCATTTATATGTTTTGCATGCTTGGGTGCCAGAACACGCCTTATATCTTGGGTTGTTCAGGATAAGTATTTTCTGGGTTTCATTGAAATTAATGATATGCATTTGTTTCTATAGGAGAAAATAAATTACTTAGGTGGTCTGAATTTAGGTCAGTGGCATATAGGATGGCAACAAAAATCGAATCCATGGTTACCTTATCCTATCCAATTCGGTCAACGTAGATAAGATTCGTGTTGGCGGATTTTGGGCCAACGGGTTTAAATCCGTTTACTAATGATCGGATTGGGTTGGGTTTGGGTTTAGATATACCCGCCCCATAGATACCTGCCCACACCCATATAACTAAATTTTCCCGGTATATTTAATATTCTAAGCAACTAAATATTCTTTATGTTTGTAGAAACATGTCTATTTTTTTTTCTAATTTTGTAGGATGAAGTTGATATTATCAAGTGGAGAGTATCTCATCAATATATTTGTGTCCTTATATTTTCAAAACTTGTAAGACTCATTTATATGATATTAACCTCATCAATATATTTAATTAAACGACCATTCATGAGTTTATCACTCATTCAATATTGAGGAGTGTGTTTCACAGTGTTCATAGCAAATGTCATTTATGAACTTGCAATTGACGTTACTGCCAAAGCTAAGTTGCTTCTTTCTGATCCTTAGAAGTCAAAAATTATAATGTTATAGAAAACCTCTAGTCTATCCCCACCATATGTATAACAATGTAGTTGAGATTCAAAATCTAAGATATCATTATAAGCGAATTCATTATCAGCATAAAAACACTATATCATTTCAAGAAGAGGAGAATTTTGTGGAAGAAGAGGAGCAAAATCAAGAATTTGAAACCTAAAGAATGAAGTTTAAATGTGTTTTAATATTATTTATGTAAAAGCTGTAATGTATTGTATATAAATGACAATAAGCTAAGGTCATTATTTAGTTATGGTTTGGTCGTAGATATATGAAGTAATATTCATAAGGTTTATTATTTAGATTTCACCGATACTTAACAATTGTATTTTTATATACACAAATTTCTCGAGAGTCAAGTGGGTTTAAAAACCAATTACATGGGATGACAAAGTCAATTACAAGTCAAAAGTCTGATTTCACCGTAGTGCATTCTTATTGCTCTCTAAATTCTCACTCGATTTTCATACCAAACTTGAACATTAAAAATAGAACAGATAAATTTTATGAGGGTTTTTCTTATAAGAAAATTATATTGGGGTTTGAGTTTGAATGAATCATCTCTTAATTGCTCGAAAAAAAACTCGAAATAATCTCTTCATTCACCCCAACTTGATTCTCGGGGAGAAATGTCTTACCTAATTAATTATTTCTTGGTAGCAATGGCTGAGTAAATTTTATGGGGAGCTGGAAAAGAAGAGGAGGTTGGAAGGAGTAATGAAAAAGGTAAAAAGCTTATTGCATGAAATGAAATGAGATCCCAGGCCCTATTCTGATGATCTTGTCTTGTCCTTCTACTGCTACTATCACTTCCTTTTATTTCTTGAAATTATCACTCTGAATGATTACACTGGCGTCGCTCAGAAATTGTTCCTCCAACATTGCTTCCTTCTCGCCTTCATCCACATTAGGGTTTGGAAACCAATGCCGGCCGGCGGGTATTATCTCACTATTATTATTATTAGTAACAATTAACTGCTTGTCTTGTGTTTATTTACCGTCACATGGAGTTGTCCCTGGGATATTGTAAAGATGGGTTTTCAGTACTAGGGGTCTTCATTGAATGAAAGGTGGTTTCA